GAAAGAACTATTGCCTGAGATCACTTTTAAAAGATTACAAGAAAGTCTGCTTGGAAGAAGAATACAAACAAATAGCGGCTAGCTCAAGACGTTTGCACAGTACTGTACCTCATGGAGCACCTTTTCACCAGCCTGGCTGTATACGAGATTTCCACTGACAATATTCTCCCTCTCGCCTTTCAGGCAACTAGTTTCTCCTTGGACTTTTCGGGTAATTGCATCTATTCTTTGATTTAGCGATGTGTATTTTGGCATTGTTGACCCCGTTAAAATGTCCCGAACAAGCCAGGTGTAACACCTGGTCCTTACTCTTCCCTTTTCTATCAAACAAAAACAAACAAAATTAAATGAAATTAAACTCCTGACTTGTCTTCTATTCATTCACCCAGCCGTTGATCTGAGTCAGTCTCAGTGGAAGAAAGAGATCACAAACAGCCACGTGTTAGTCGTCAAAACATGCATTTGGCCTTGCAATTCGAGTGCAAGCTTTGAGCAAACAAACAATCTCTCACCATCAATCACTGTCTCACTGTCTTTCACGCATACACGCATAAACACGCACGAACACGGCATGTATAATCATCTCCTCCAGTCAGGCGGCTTCCACCTCTCTCGTGCGCACACGCTCCCGCAATAAACAAAAGCAGCTGCGAATGGGAACTACTGGGACCAATTAGACAATAAACAGTGGGCTGGAACTGGTTTACCGCCAACTAATAACACCCACTAACCTTGAATAATCTTCTGCTGGCTGCAGAGTGGAACTGGCCCACAAACTTCCCCTAGCTCGATTTTTGTCAACCTCCCATCTCTTTCTTTACACACTCAGGACCTTTCGCACTCATTGCAGTTCTCTCCTGCTACCTTTTCCACACTCCTGTCACCATTTCTCACGTCGTGCACAAAAGCAAGCACAAATGTTGAGTTTCCCTTTCTCCTGTAAGAAAAAAAGATCATATTAAGGCAAATACTGTGCCACCAGAGCGAGCCTATAAAACTAAGCACGCGCACACATAAATACTCAACCTCTGACACGAGTAATGCTGTGTGTGTGGGCAGAGTAATATTGTTGAGAATGGGGTAATGTGCAGCCAATGGCTTGCTGCTGTACGTCTTGATGATGGGTGTGAGTGCGCGTGAGACTCACTACATCACCCAGACTAATGTATGCAAGCCCTGCTCTGTACTGCAGACACGACAGACAGCGGGGAAATATGGAGCTTAGGCATCGTAAACACACCAACACTAAATAAATCTTACCCACTGATTTATGCTTGCAACCTGAAAACAGCTGTACCCTGGCGCTGATATAACAACAAGAATACTGTACAAACATGCAGCATGCATATAAAATATAAATAGATATAAAATACACAAATAAAAATGCCCAAGTACCACATTTTCAGTTTTCAGTGTTTGCAAACCTGAGTGCTTAGGAGAAAACTAACACCTTTAAGGACACTAAAGAGCAGGCTAACATAACAGTGTTCATAAAAGTGGGAGCGTAGTGTGTTTATCTTTTTTAATGTAACAGCTTATTACACACAGAGGAGGATGGAAGCTCATGACAAGCATCAAAGTGAGATATAGCATATGAAGAGTGTTACAGAGAAAGATGATCAGTGTAATTAGATGATTAATTGGAGATTATGTATTGGAATTTCAGGAGCGGGACCACGCCTCCAAATACGCTCCTTCGGAGAACCCGGGATTCCCGGAGAGAACCTCCACAGGCACAGCAAGAACATGTGAACTCCACACAGAGAGAGACCGCTGGATTCAAACCCAGAACCTTCTCGTTGCCTAGTATACTGAACGAATATTTGTTACAGTGTTACTTCAAAAATGTATATTTCACAATATTCAATAGTAAAATACTCATGACTACTCATGTGATTTTAAATTGTTTGACAAATATCAGAATTTCATTAGGAAAAAAAATGCAATCACACCGACACATCACATTTACAGTGCAGCGCAGCAGATTTAAACTGAACTACAAACTCAACTTGTGTGCTCATTTTCTTACATAAAGTCACAAATGATGACAGGAGTGTGGAAAAGGTAGCAGGAGATAACGGTAATGAGCAACTTTATTTATAGACACAAGCGAGTTTCAGTTTAGTTACGGACAAGCAAAAATGTCAAGACACACCTTTATTCACACCTGTGCAAAATATCGCCCACATTACCTGACATGCTTCTTCTAATTGCATTGTCAGAGAAAGGCACATTAGTGGAAACTGGACCTGGCATGATAGCCACAACTTTTCTTTCTTTCTTTTTTTTTGCAAGAGTATCCCCACTCACTCGCTTATAGTTCAACCACCAGACAGTTTCACAACACAGCAGACAGATTTTCCACCTCCAGTTCAGATCCAGTGCTCCTTTGAAGGACACGCGCTTTTTATCAGGAGGGATGTTTGCTTACCGAGTGCATCCTTAGCTATTTTGGCACCGTGCTAGTATTGCAAAAAAGGGAAGAAAGTCTCACTATTCAAACACTATTTGGCTCCAAGTAATAATTTAATCCTTAAAACATTTGTACAAAAGCAACATTGGTTTATGAAGGATTTTCTTTTAGGGCAAACGAGTACAAAAACCACTTATACAGAATTCATTTTTCATTTTCTGTGCAGCTGTGTTAGAAAACATAATGCATGGTCGTCCCAAAAATCGCATGCCTCACAGCATATCATTTGGGAATCCCTCCTCCGGAGAACACATCTGTATATACAGTGTCAACTGATTTCTTATGTCTGGGTTTTAGGGCCAGAAAAAAGGGGGGGAATTATTTGCACAGGTTATCGGCTCAGTATCAAGAACAACTCTTCCAAACGTGCCACAAATTACATTATTTACATTAAAGTCATTTTCAATTAAACTCAATAGCCTACACATCACTGCGTGCTCGGAACTATTTTGCTTGAGAGTTCAATAATATTTTGTCGTGAACGGATTCTTCAGCTGCAGTGGAGCCAGAGCTATGCTTGCAGCATATAAAATTCACAGTCTTTGGGTTTTTATTTGCACTATGCGCCAAATACGGATACAATAAACATAATCTCTCTTCTGTTAACTTTGTCTTGCTGGACTGGATTACTTCTCATAGAAACCCACTCTGGCCTCCCACATATAAAAAGCAAAGAAAGAGAAGCCGCTACTGCTTTGGGGGTTTGCTGACGAAATTCCAGGAAATTTAAGAAAGCATTAAATAAATGTGCTTGAAAACATGAACGCATAGATAAGTGGGATGTTTTTCACTGTGTGTGTACTTAATAAGAGGTACAAGAGCACAGTCAAACAATGCCAAGAAGTCAGCACCTGTCCACAGTAATCTCTCCATCAGCAGCTTCCACTCAGTGTGTGTCCACGCTGCCCACACAGCAACTCATTGACAAGGTAAAAGAGAAAATTGCCCGTGTTCACTTGCTGACGAACCTCTTCATTTACGGGGAAAGGACATCATTTATCACAGCACACAATTAGGTTCTAACAACTCTCACGGGGAAACAATCTGGCTAATGGTGACAGAGGAAATTGTGCTTATTAGGCAGAGTAAATAACGCTCTGATAGCCAGCGAGGTCCATTACTATGCCGTCGGCAAGTGCAGGATTTGATTTGATTTTTTTTAAAGAAATATCTAGGGTATTTACATTTTTGCCAACACTTCTGATTAAACAGCTTCCTGTGTTTTGTTTCCTTATCTTCAGATGCAGCGCATCAGCGAGCTGTGACATCACCAATATGCTGCCAGCGAAGATGGACAGAATAGGAGTGATGCAGGAGAAGAAGGTCATTTTTGCTGATAAGGAATGACAGCAGAGGCAGGCTGAATGCTCCCGGAGCTGAAACGCTCACCGGGCTGTCAGAGAGAGATCTCTGGAAAATGTAAAGGATCGGCTCTGTTGGACAGAAGCCGTAATGAGACGACCAGCGGCAGCACTGGTTTACATGCCCCGAGAAATTGGGCTAAAGGACTTTATTTTAGTGGAAGAGGACGTCCTTGTTCAGGAAGAGCAACGTAATAGTTCTGCAGCGATTTCAAAAACACTTGCGTGTATTTTGCTTCAGAAAACACGGAGAGGTGGTGCATGGGGAAAGGAAAAAATCCATTCGATTTTAGTGCAAATCTAGATCACTTTCTTAGAAAGTGGAACAGAGGTTATTGGCCTTGGCACAAGAGTCCCTTCTCCATATCTGAGTACAGATTGTCAGTCTGGGGAACTAGTCCAACTTAGTCTAGACTGACTTGGCCTCTGATGAAAAAGCCAAATAATCCAAGGCTTCCAGTGTAGCTGGTGGATATGCCGGCCAAGTTCTTTTGTTCTGAATTCTCTATGGGTCACCACAGCAGATTATCTGCCTCCATTTCACCTTAAACCTCCTCTGTCACATCAACCCTCTGCATCTTCTCCTTCATGACATCCACAGAAGCCCACAAAGAAGCCTCAGCAAGGGGGCTTCTTTGTGGGCTTCCTCCTATCCTCCTCTAGGCTCCTTCATATTCACCATCCATTTCCCAGAATATCCAGTATCCATCCTCTGCACATGTCCAAACCATCTCAGCTTGCCTCTCTTTACAAATAAAAACCCATTTTAAAAAGTAAGGAATGGACTGCTAAAAGATTCTGCAATACAAAAAATGGCAAAGTAGCTATTCTGGCCTTTAGTAGCACAATCAATAGATTTTATGTTTGCTCTGTTGAGTCCAGTCAATTAACATTCATTACAAGAACATGAAACAGCATCGCAGAACCACATGTACTTTTATTTTGAAGACAAAGAACCACAAGCTAAAGCCTGCTGCCTGATTAAAGGACACCTGAGAAATCACTTTTTTATTTAGCATGACCTCTAGGGCTGCAGTTGATTGAGCCTGTAGCCTTTTGTTGGACCGAGGAGAGACATAGCGGAGCTCAAACAAAAGCTAGACTTTAAGGTGACACTGAAGGTGAAGTTTCTTAAGAGGATGATGAAGGGATTATTGCGTGTTTACCTGTTGGTTGACACGGCAGTGGGATGGGCCGTGGTGGATGAGGATACGGACGATGTCTACATCTCCCTTCCAGGCAGCCAGGTGTAGCGGGAAGCAACCTTTGCTGTCAGACACATTTGTGGATGCCTCAAACTGGAGCAGTTTCAGCACCACCTCTCTGAGAGAGAAGCAGGTACACGGATATCAATACATTAACAGGGGAACAAGTGGAAGAACAGACAGTTAAGGCAGCCAGGTGCTACAAAATCCACATGATGGTAAGCAGTCAACTTTATTTGACAGCAACGATTCTTTTTTAGCACTTTTCACTTTGGAACACAGTTTGCAAAGAATCTCTTCATCATATTGGCCAACGAATCATTTTTAGTGGTGGAAGAAGTACTCGAATCCTTTAGCAGTGCACAGACAGCACCTAGCAAAACATGCTACTTTCCGAGAGTGAAGTTTTTACTGACTATATATAAAAACAAAAAGTACTTGTATAAATCACTAAGACCTTGGTAACAACTGGCTAAATAAATGATTTTATTATAATAATCTTCAGGCTGTGTAGATGGAAACATAAATGCTGCATGTTCACCTTCAAATGCTCAGCTATACTAAAACGTTCAAGCTCTACAGATAAATGCCCCTCTTTCATTTAAGAATAATTTTTTCTCTTTTTTTGCCATTTTCATCATTTTCATCTAAAAAAAAGTCATCCTTTCTCTTCTTTAAGTAATATTTTACCTAAGTTGACTCGAGGGAACAAACTCAAGGACAGCAGTATACGAGGTGCTTCTTTCTTTTCTTTTTTTTAAAAATGCAAATTCTCCACTTCAAAACTGAATGTGCAAGAAATGAAATAAAGCTATGCCTACAAATCGTGGGTCACTTTGACACTACAATTAAAAAGATGCTCAATAAATACGGCTGTATCGTAATGAGCTTTTCTCATATTGTAGCTACACAATCTTAATTTCGCTGTTCCACCATCGTGGTATTTATTGTGTTTCTTTCTGCAGTAGATCATCTTTTATGCAGGTTTTTATCCACCTTATGTGATAATAAACTTGCACTTCCTACTAAACCCTAGTTAAACAAAGCCTTGGTTCTGAGGGATTTACAGGAAGCTCGCTGCAGGAGGCACTGGAAAAAGTACAGCTACAGAGAGCAGCATTGCTGCTTTGCTGCTCTTGATAAATAAAGCAGTACACAAATTCATAAAGCAGCAAATCACAGAGTTGGATTGGGCTAAAAAAAAATCCATTTAGCTGCTGCTGAGTAGTAATGTCAGTGATAGTGTTTTATATTAGGGGGACTCCAGCTGAAGAGGCAAGGCGAAGTGCTTGATTTGCATTGAAAATGTCAGGAGGGAGCAACAGAGGAGACAGAAGGGCAAAACCTTTCCCAGAAGAGCACAATGAAGCAGCTCTGTGCTGCTTAATGAACTACTTACTTACTTATTTCTGTAGTTTATTATATCTTCTTATAATTTCATTTCAGTTTAATGAACAGTTAAAACAAGGATGGCGTAAGGATGAAAAATATGTATTTATCACCAAAGCGCCTTTGATGTCATAACGTTGTGATCTTTAAAAATTCAATTCAAACCCAGCCTGAAGAACAGCTCTCTGAAAACAGCTCTGCCTGTTGCCAAGTCCTCTTCCTTCTCTCTTTTCACTCTCCCACCTAAATGCTAAATCACTCCTCTGAAGCTTTTTGTTGGCAGCCTAATTTTCACTGTGAGGGTGCATTTTTCTTTCCCTCACTTCCCTCCTCCTTTCCCCGTTGATCTGAAGGAGGAAATCCACATAATTGCCCCCAAAACACGGTGCTAATCCTTCAGTTCCGCCAAACCGGGATAGCAGTCAGGCTCGCAGCTAATCCAAAGTGTGTAACGGATTTCTCAGCAGGACCAGGTGAAGAAAGGGAGCTGCACTGTAGTTCTGTGCAGCTGTAGACACTCAAATCATTCACATATTGTACAGTTTGGATGGAAATAATGTAGGAATTTTGTATTTCTGACTGTAGGCAACTATTTTACTGCCCAAAAATGCAAGATTGCTTTCGGTAATGGCTTTCGTTTTCATTTTCATAGTTATGCACTAACTTCTAACTTTGATTTAAAGCCTCTATAATCAAAGTTATTAAGCATCAAATCTCTATATGACATCCCATGAACAAAGCAGTCGATAATATCTTCAAACGCCTTTTACAGCCAGAAATGTTGCGTGACAGCATTCAGTGCTGGTTTCAAAATACATTTAGTCTAGTCCAAACAGCCCTTAAGTCATGATGCAAACTACAACAGGAATGTTCAATCAGTGCCACCAATCACAGCATGATACAGGATCACAGATCAGTGTCAATGTGTGAATCAGCTTTATTTAAACAATAGCAAATGTTTCAGTGCAGAGAAAATGACTGGCGACCTGACAGCTGTCCTAATTGTCACGAGTGTTTTGTGTTTGTTAGGCTACAGATTTCATTCTAAATTTATTATAAATCCATTATTTATGATCAAATCAATGTCAAATTGATCCCAAAAGCACTCATGATAAATATATTGGGCTAATATCAAATATATGGACAAAACCATTGGACCACCTGTTAATTTTTAAATTCATGTATGTTAGAAGTGCTTCACCCTGCTCTCTTCTCTGAATTTTACCTGGTGATGATTGGTTGCTGAAGGCTCACCGCATGCATGTAAAGCCAGGGCAGGAGGAGCAAGTAGTGGTACCTTACAAGCAGTGGTACCAGTGGCATTGTTGCAATAAATTTCCCTCATAGGTATTCTGTAGGTGTAGCTGTAAGTGGTATTATCGCAAGCTGGAACCACAGCAGCTCAGTCATGACGTGGCATTAATATCAGCACATGAAATGTGTGCTGGGAGCTTCAAGGCATGGGTTTACAGTACATTTGTCCATACAGTGTGTATTGTACAGTGTTTGTACCAACTTTTAACTCAGCCGATCAACATTTTCATTATGTGCTTTGATATTGACTGTATGAATGAAGAAATCAGACATCTGGTTCAGGAGCAGCAGGACGGGAACACAACTAGTTTAGCTGCTTCAGTTTTCACTGAAGTTGTTTACTGGAAGTTAATAGGATGTGTTTGCAGTTAAGACTCCTCCCTGCAGGTTTATCCAGAAAAAGGCCCGTTCAAAATCAGTTTACACTGACAGCATGACATAAGCACAGTACCATGGCCTCTCATCATGTCACAGCAGAAATGTGAAAACAATTAAATAAAATTTATGACATTCTGACTTCTTTTAGATTATTTTCCTTTGGTTATGGTAATTTATTTATACATTTATTTATTTGCACAGAATTACACTTTTTTTTTAAAGAATAGAAAAAAATCACAGAGTGCAATCTGTAGAAGAAACTGTCAGACTTTTTTAAAGAAACCAATCTAAAGATATCCCTGTGTCCCCCATTTATTTGCATGCAAACACATAAAAATCCAGATAATTAGAGATTTGTTGATAATGGAAAACAACATTTAGCTTCAGCTCTACAGCGTACAAAGAACAGAACAATTTGTTTCCAGTGCACTGAGTAGCACTTGCATTTACAACTCATTTCTATCCAGCAGAAATAGAGTGACAGAAACACTCATTAGCAGGCTTACCTGTGTCCATTGAGTGATGCATGGTGTAAGGGTGTGTATCCCGAGCTGTCTGTGCAGTTCACATTCAGGCCCTTCCACATGCTGTGGAACAGAGAAATGCCTCAATTAATCAACGCGCACACACACACGCACGTTTATGACTGCTTTTAGTTGTACAGATTTACCACCTTTATTTCATCAGCTGGTGTAAGTGTGCTACCAGCTGCGACACTCTCTTTTAGTTTAGAAGCAGGAAATGACAAGCCAGTCCCGACCAATTAGGATTCACATTCCTCAAATGTGTCAAGCATGGAAAGCAAGGACAGGTGGAAAGTGGCTTGTGGTGTTTTCTTGAGAAAAATGCCCTTCAGAACACAGATTGCTCATTTTAAAATGTTTAGTGACACTTTTTCCCCAAGTAAATTACGTATGAAGTCTTACAGGTGTTGTTTTACAGAGCAGTTTCTTTGTGTAACAGTGTGTTTATTAGTTTGTTTTCATATTGCACTTTTCTTCACACAAAAGAATCTAGCTTTATTATGTAAGGGTCCCAGGGTGAGGCTTGTAATTTCTCATTCGGAGGCAACAGTCAGGAGATCTTAAGTTCTGCTTCATCACACTGGCAAATGATGGGAGCGCATGAGGTCAATTCTTGTACTCGAGAAACGGCTGAGCATGCAAATAAAATTACACAAAGACAGAAAGTTACGAGGAAATCCAGCTCCACAGAGGCTGAACACGCACCGAAACACACCCGTATACAGATGACACACAAACACTAAAATCTACTTACAGCTCAGGGTTTTCCCGGGGCTATAATTATATGACCTCTCTTTTTCAAATGAACTCGTACAAGTGAGAGAAGTACTAATTAGCTCAATTCTAGCCTGAGCAAATCTTAGCTGAAAAGCTGCATCAAGAAACTTCTAAAAGTGACTGTTGAGCCTTTTTTATTACACACACACACACACACACACACACACACACACACACACACACACACACACACACACACACACAGCTCTAAATCTTACTGGTTTTATGTATCTAACTGCCGAAAACATGTATCTAGTCACACCACCCTATAATCTCTATAACCCCGTGTCTCCCTCTTATTGATTTTGGCATATGTGCATCCTGAAATGAAGGATAAAAAAAATCAATGCTTCCTTTGAAGATTTGCTGTACAAAATAAAAGCTGCACTTTAACTCTTAATTCCTTTTATTTCATTGATCATATCTGTAGGGAACCGAAGGAATCCTTCCTGTAGTGAAATCTAATTGAAAATAAATATTCTTTCTTTCTTTCTTTCTTTCTTTCTTTTTTTTAAAGAAAGCATTTAAATTTCACTCTCACAGACAGATTGTGTATCTCATGAGGAATTTTCTCCTTGGAGACACTGGAGTAAAGCAGCAACAGCAGAACATTCACTGGGTTTTGACAGGCATCAACACAATGATCAAGGTCAGGGGAATTATGCAACAGCTGTGCACACAGAGACACAACTAAACGTGAATTAAAAGTGCTATTAAGGGCTGGCTGCACATGCACACATACGCACACTAACAGAACAAAGTGCACGACTAGGCAGTCTTATTTCCTCTGAATTCAGATTATCATTCATTTCAGCACTATTTGCTCTTAATACGGTACACACACACACGCACACACACACAAAGACAAGTAGTAGATCGTGAGGCAGAAGATTAGAGAGAAAAAAAAAGAGATACTGCAAGGCTTGTTTCTAATGGTTCAGCTGATCAGTGCACACTGTGACTGTTTGAGGCTATATCGATCATGCTGCTCTGCTGACCCCTTCTAGCACTGACCTATCCAGCCAGCAGGATGGGTTGTTAAAAAGAGCCGACTGACAGCGAATGAGGAGAGAGGAGGAAAACCTAAATTCAATGCACGTAGAGATAAAGACACAGTGTCCAGTTTCGAATCCGTTCTGAAATAAATGTAGATAGATCTGGCTCACAAAAAACAAAAAAAAATCTGCAAAAAAGTATCAGATAAATTTGTGCTGCGTTTAAAACCTAATAAATACACTCGATATATTTCTAAGAGGGAGAGACAAGAGAAAAATTTGATTCAAGCTTTCATCATTTAATTCTCTGGAGTAGTCGTCATAGTATTTGGGTGATTTTTTTAAGCAAGACAACAGCTGGGAAAATGTAAGGTGACAGATTGTAGCTCAACAAAAGGCCAAGCAGCTTTGTCAAGGTAGTGGTTTTGTTGTGTAGCAGCTTCTATACCTACAGTTTCTACATTCACATAAGTACACGTGTTCAACTGCTTGTTAGCACAAATATCTAACCAGCCAATCACGTTGCAGTAGCATTTAGACACACAGACATGGGCAAGACAACCTGCTGAAGTTTAACTGAGCATCAGAATGAGGAAGAAAGGTGATTTAAATGTCTTTGAATGTGACTAGTTGTTGGTCCTGGAAAGATTGGTTTGAGACGACAGTTTCCACAGGATCACCGAAACAGGACAATAGACAATTGGAAAAGTTTTTCCTGATCTGATTTCTGCTGCGACATGCCAATAATGGGGTCAGAATTTGGCATAAAGAGCATAAAAGCATGGATTATTGGCATAATTTGAGCCTCTTAGTATTGCTGCTGACAATCATTTATGTGCACATCTTCTTATGGATGCTTCCGGAAGAATAACACACCATGTCAAAAAACTCAATTCATCTCAAACTTCCTGAACTTTGTAATCAGCTCACCGTACTCAAATGGACTCCACGGTCACCAGATCTCAATCTACATATATAGAGCTCTTTTAGGATGTGGTGAAATTGGAGATTTATATCATGGATGTGCAGTTAACAAACATGCAGCATCAAGCCTTACGTTGGGTGAGTGCTGAGTGTTTGTATATGTGTGCATGAGGGTGGGAATGCATGT